AAACAGTTTTAAACACAATGGTTCAATTTATTTCAAGTTTAATTTAATAAAATCCTGTGAAAAAAAACTGTGGAAAAAGTCCAAAAAATAAAAGTATAACACCCCCAAAAGCTGGAGATTTATTACAATTAACCTAAGATAGATCAAACCGTTGTGTCCAAAACCTTTAAAAGTGTGGGAAAAATAATTAAATTTACCACATTTCACTTTCAAAAGTTTTGGACACAATGGTTTGATCTATCTTAGGTTAAATGTAATAAATCTCCCGTTTTTGGGTTATTGTTATAATTTTATTTTTGGACTTTTTCCACAGGTCTTTTTCATAGGATTTTATTATATTAAACTTGAAATAAATTGAACCATTGTGTTGAAAACTGTTGAAAGTGTGGGAAAAAAATTTACATTGACCAAAATTCATTGCTTTGCAATCAGAAAGCCAGCTGTGTTACCAAAAATATTAATTTTTTTTTGGAGAAATGAAATTGACCATTGAATTCCTCACCCTAGAAAGTGTAGGGACAGAAATTATTATGCTCAAATTTGTTGCAATTTGACCTCCAAACAAATTAATCAAACAAAATTCTGCATTTTAGGAATTAGACCTGCGACCCCCATATGCATACTGAAAAATGGTTCTGCGACCCACCTGGACCAGCGCCACAACATCCTGTGGGTTGCAGATCCAAAGGGTGGTTTGCATGTCAACCCCCTCTTTTTCATCCTCTTTTTCCTTCTATCTTGAAATCTGGTGTGCTAGGTGATTATGAACATCAAAAGTCATCTTATTGGTATGTTGGGACCTAAAATGCCATATATCTGACTTTCAATTGGGTCCACTGGGGTTTATGTGTATCCAGTGCTGACTCTAATTGTATCCAGTTAATCACATTTGACCTCAGACAAGTCAAATTTCTAGTCCTTATATAGTATATGACTGAAGACCTTGATGATGACTATATCCCATGCTCTTCAAATCTCATACATCATCAATTTTTCTTCTCCTCTCTTTCCAACTATTCTCTAACCAATGTTCATCTAGAGGCTAGTACTTGGGGGCAAGCATCACTGCCAAGGTGATTGTGTCAGATTTCCACATCTGGCATTATGTCAGATGAAAAAGTCTGATATTACATCAGAAGAAACTGGCATTGTATCTATCAGGACTGATATTTTATCTGACTAAACTGATATTATATCTATCATAACTGAGATTGTGTCTACCCAACCTACTTAACATCAACA